AATCTCATGGCTGAAAGGGAAATAAAATGATACTTTCTTCTGCCATAGTACCGAAAAGGATGAATATTATCCTAAGCACAGATGGCATAATTTCATTGTAAATATTGGGAGCGGCTTTAAAGGAAATTGGTTCTGGTATCTGCCTCTGTTGGAAAATACAGCTCCATATTCACCAGGTTAAAATCCTTGTCTTTGGCAGACATTCACCAATTTGCTTGGTCAATATTAAATAACAAGTGAAGTCCTTCAGTCATCTGGGGGTGACTTTTGCAGTTAATGCATCCTGGCAGGTGCTGTGGTTGTGCATTTTGTTTAGAACCAGCTGTTCTGTTGAAGCATATCTGAGGCGTTTTTTATGGCCACAGTAGGTGGCTGGTAACCCTTATAAGAAAATATTTTCAGATTCCTCCCAACCACACAACTCCACTCTCCTCCAAAAGAAAGTCCATCTATCTCATGTTCTGCGGTGGGTATTCTTGAGACTGTATCAAGTACTTGTTCAAATACTTGGCTTCAGCAGTCCAAAGATTAAAAATAAGTTCACAAAAAACCTTAAACATTTGCTCTTTCTGTCTGCTCTAATGGAGAAGCGAATGGACTTTTGTTCTAGAGGAAATACCGGTTAAATGACTAAACTTTTTGAACAGAGAAGACATCAACCACACTACCTTCTTATTTTCCAAAACATGTATATTTTTCATCATATCCAATATCTTTAAATACATTTGCCTTGTCTACTCAAACAAATGTCAGTGTCATGCAAAATTCCAGCAATTTGTAGCCCCACCCTTTGATGTTCATTTCTGTTTTCTTGTACAATTTTTCACAAACTTCTTCTGTTTACTCCCCTCCTTTTCTGTATTCTGATCTTTCAGATCTTCCTTGCCTCAGGTATCATTTTTCTTGTATCCCCTTTTGAACAAGTTTCTGCTTTAGCTCTTTGTCTCTGAGATCACCCTGCTGTTTGACTTTTGGTTCTCTGTATTGGAATCACTTATAAGGGACATGCCTACTTACTGCCCTTGCCAGAGAAAGGAGTTTGATAGATAGAACCTTAATCTGTTGCAGAAGCTGTTAGAGAATGCCATTGCTACTGGCTGGAGAATGCTTCATTTCTTACCAGATGCCTTCTTGAAAGGCATAATATATAGGAATGTTGCTTAAAGATTATACTATTGTCTACTATACTACTATATAATTTGCTTTCATTTCCCTTATATTATTAGAACACTAGGTCCCTAAATACTTGGAGTATACATTTTATATAGTTATCTTGAATGAGTCATGCTTTAAGGTTATGCTGTCAGTTTTGGCCGAGGCTAACTAGAAGAAACAGCCTATATTGGACTTATTTTGTAAACACAATACTAGGATATTGTCCACCATATCCCATACTACCTTATATATAAAGCTTCAGAAACATACCTTTTAGAATTTAACAGAGGAAAATGCTATCTCTTTCCACATATGCTTTCTTGTTTTTATAATGATAAATTTACATTGCCAACAATGTAACTCATTACATTCCTGTTTATTTTGCTCTGGTTGCCTGGAAGCTCAGAGCAAAATGTAATGGTTAAATGTAGCATTTGACATTGTAGTTAGTACAAATGCATTTTCCCTTTCTCTGGGTTTTATATTTATATCTTATTAGGTTGTTTTTGTTTGTATGCCCATTGTCTTAGTCTGTTTTGTGTTGCTATGACAGAATACCTGAGACTGGGTAATTTATAAAGAGAAGAGCCCTATTTAGCTCACGGTTATGAGGATGGAAAGTTCAAGGGCATGGCCCTGGCTTCTGGTAAGTGCTTCTGTGGTGTGTCATAACATGGTGGAGAAGGTCAAAGGGGAAGCAAAAACATACAGAGAGAACCGGAGGAGCATCCCGACTTTATAATGACCCACTCTCAAGGGAACAAATCCATTCCCTCAAGAGCGAATCCAGTCTTGCTCTAGCAAGAACTCACTCATTGTCAGAAGAACAGCTCTGAGCCATTAGTAAGAGATTCACCCCATGACCCAAACACCTCCCAACTTGCACCACTTCCCAATACCACTGCACTGGGGATCAAATTCCAAAATGAATTTGGCAGAGACAAACAAACCATAGCCAAACCATAGTACCAATAATCTCAAATATATTTTTGGGAGTCAAGATATTATATAGACTTATAATACCTTCCCTGAACAGTCTTCTTTTTTGCTTGGGAAAGATGTGATAAAGTCCTTAGGGGCCTATTTTAGAGTCTCTAGAGCATCCTTGAAACATTTCTTAATATAAGTCTCATTCTAACTCTTTGAATACTTACAACGTACATGGCATGCCACTAGATGTTGTAAGTCATGCACAAACCAAAACAGAAACATAACCTCTTTCCTCAGTTCTGCTGCTTTATTGCTGGGGCACAATCTTCTACAAAGTAGTAGGCCTTCAAGGACAATTGAGAAGCTGAAACAGACTATAGAAAGCTAGGAAGTGTACAAACTGAGTCATGAGGGAAGGCTTTGTGGAAAGGATTTCACTTGATCTGGGGATTCAAACTGTGTATAGATTTGAGTACGTGAAGCACACAAATGAGGGCAATGGTGTGGTGGTGAACTGGTTTCCCCTTCCACTTCTGCACAGCCTGGATTTGCAGTGTTTGCCAGTTTCCATGGTGTCAATACTTCTGCTATGGCCAATTTGAAGCTATCAATAATTTAGTAATGTGCTTGCAAAGTTCCTGAATATTTAAAAATTAGCTGGCGTGAGCCTATTTGAGCCAGGTAACATGCCGCTGGATGAAGTCTTCATAGGAATGTGATACTGTGAGTAAGAGTTCAGATTTGTGAGGTCCAATTAAGGAATAGAAAAAGTCCTGACTGTCTGTATCTGAAGGTTCATATTGGGAAATGATGGCAAGGTGTAAAGAGTTAATTGTGAATAGAATTTGGAGGTTTTTGCTTTGCACTTGCAGTTTGCTTTTTAGAATATGGGAAGGTCTTGAGTACTTTTTTTTTTTTGAGATGGAGTTTCACTCTTGTTACCCAGGCTGGAGTGCAATGGCACGATCTTGGCTCACCACAACCTCTGCCTCCTGGGTTCAGGCAATTCTCCCGCCTCAGACTCCTGAGTAGCTGGGATTACAGGCACGCACCACCATGCCCAGCTAATTTTTTGTACTTTTAGTAGAGACGGGGTTTCACCACGTTGACCAGGTTGGTCTCGATCTCTTGACCTTGTGATCCACCCACCTTGGCCTCCCAAAGTGCTGGGATTACAGGCGTGAGCCACCGCACCCGGCCTTGAGTACTTTTTAATAGAGGAATGACAGAATAGAATTAATGTTTTGGGAAGATTGGCCTTTTAGTAGTTATATGTTGGGTGATTTTAAGTGAGCAGAGGGGAGCAGAGACAAGAGTTAGGAGCTTCTTGAAATGCAGTATGCATGAAGTAATAAGGAGCCAGAGTTAGGACAGAAGTGGCCAATATGGGAAGGGAAGGCAGGAAAAAGGGTGGATGGTAGAGACAGTGCATATCTGCTAGTATGGCATCAGTTGAGTTCACTTAAAATCTCTGACTGGGCTGGGCATGGTGGCTCATGCCTGCAGCACTTTGGGAGGCTGAGGCAGGCAGATGATGAGTTCAGGAGATTGAGAACATCCTGGCCAACATGGTGAAGCCCCATCTCTATTGAAAATACAAACATTAGCTGGGCGTGGTGGTGCATGCCTGCAATCCCAGCTACTCAGGAGGCTGAGGCAGGAGACTCACTTGAACCCGGGAGTTGGAGGTTGCAGTGAGCTGAGATCATGCCACTGTACTCCAGCTTAGCAACAGCGCAAGACTGCATCTCAAAAAAAAAAAAAAAGCTCTGACTGGAATCAACTGAGGGCTCATTTACATGTTTGTGGATTGATATTGGATATTACTAGAACCTTCAAGGAGGCTGTGGAGAGAACACTCATACATATTCTTGACATGTGGCTGCTTGGTTTTATTATTGCATGATGGCTGGATTCTAAAAGTAGGAGTCCGAGAGAGGCAGACAGATGAAAACCACATCGCCCTGTACAGCCTGGCCTTGAGAATCATGTGATATCTTTTTCACTACATTCTATTTGTTGAGTCAGTCACAAAAGCACAGCTGGTTTATGGAAAAAGAAAATAAGACCTCCACCTCTTGATGGGAGATAGCAAGGCTATAAAAGACTATGTAAGAGTGACACACAGGAGTTTTTCAAGTGCTTGCTATTATTCTCATTATATGAGTTTAAGTGTCTGCAAGTAAACTGGTTCCCTCTAAAATATAGTGAATATTTTCAGTAAATGCCTGGTATGGGTTCAGTAACAACCTTGAAATGGTGGTTGTGTAGCTCTTATTAAATGAATAGTATGATTATTATTTGGTGCTATTATACAAGACTATAGACAATTTACTTTTATAAGAAGGAGGAACAAGATCTTACATGTATGATGAGGTTGCTTTTCTATTAATTAACTTGGGCAAAGTAACATAATTGTAAATTCTTACTGAAAGCTTCTCATGTACTAAACTCAGTAAATCATTTTTATCCATAATCTTGTTTAATCCTCACAAATAAACCTGAGATGAGTATTATTATCCCCATTTATGAAGGATAATATTGAAGTTCAGAGAAGTGATGAAATTTGCCTGTTAAGTAATGAAACCTGAATTCCATTCTAGAACTGTGCCCTTCTTCCTTCATGAGATGTATTGTATGCCCTTCTTCCCTTCATGAGGTGATACAATACATCTCATGAGCTAGAATGTATCACCTCTTCATGAGGTGATATGATTTGGCTGTGTCCCCACCCAAATCTCAACTTGAATTATATCTCCAAGAATTCCCACATGTTGTGGGAGGGACTCAGTGGGAGGTAATTGAATCATGGGGGCTGGTCTTAACCATGATATTCTCATGATAGTAAGTCTGATGAGATCTGATGAATTTATCAGGGGTTTCTGCTTTTGCTCCTTCCTCATTCTCTCTTGCAGCCACTATGCAAGAAATGCCTTTTGCCCTCTGCCATGATTGTGAGACCTCTCCAGCCATGTGGAACTGTAAGTGAAATTAAACCCTCTTTTCTTCTTAGTCTCAGGTCTGTCTTTATTAGCAGCATGAAAATGAGCTAATACAGTAAATTGGTACCGGTAGAGTTGGGCACTGCTGAAAAGTTACCCAGAACTGTGGAAGTGACTTTGGAACTGGGTAACAGCAAGAGGTTGGATCTGTTTGGAGGGCTCAGAAAAAGATAGGAAAATGTGGGAAAGTTTGGAACTCCCTAGAGACTTGTTGAATGGCTTTGCCCAAAAGTCCAATAAAGTCCAGGACAAGGTGGTCTAAGATGGAAAAGAAGAACTAGTTAAGAACTGGAGTAAAGATGACTGTTGCTATGTTTTAGCAAAGAGACTGGCAACATTTTGCCCCTGATCTAGAGATTTGTGGAACTTTGAACTTTAGAGGGATGATTTAGGGTATCTGGAGAAATCAATTTGTACGCAGCTAAGCATTCAAATGGTGACTGGCGTGCTATTAAAGGCATTGCATTTTATAACTTTTATGCTCTACATCAACGTTTGGAAAATTTGCAGCCTGTAAATGTAATAATAATTAAAAAAACCATTCCATTTTCTGAAGAGAAATTTAAGTCTGCAACAGAAATTTATGTAAGTAATGAGAAACTTACTTGGAATGTTAATTTCCAAGACAATGGGGAATATGTCTCCAGGACATGTCAGAGGTCTTCTTGGCAGTCCCTCTTATCACAGGCCTGGAGGAAGAAATGGTTTCATGGGCCAGTCCCCAGGTCCTGTGCTGTGCACAGCCTGGGGAGTTGGTGCCCTGTCCTTGGGGCCAAGGGCCAGCTTAGGCTGTGGCTTCAGAGGGTGCAAGCCCCAACCTTCCATGTGGTGTTGAGCCTGTGGTATACAGAAGTCAAGAATTGAGGTTTGGAAACATTTAGCTAGATTTTAGAAGATGTTTGGAAACACCTGGATGTCTAGCCAGATGTTTGCTGCAGGGGTGAGGCTCTCATGGAGAACCTCTTCTAGTGCAGTGTGGAAGGGAAATGTGGGGTTGGAGCCCTCCCACAAAGTCCATACTGGGGCACCGCCTAGTGGAGATGTGAGAAGAGGAGCACCGTCCTTCAGACACCAGACCCACCAACAGCTTGCACTGTGCACCTGGAAAAGCCACAGACATTCAATGCCAGCTGTGAGAGCAGCCAGGAGACAAGGCTGTACCCTGCAAGGTCACAAAGGTGGAGCAGCCCAAGACCATGGAAACCCACCTCTTGCATCAGCATGACCTGGATGTGAGACATAGAGTCAAAGGAGATCATTTTGGAGCTTTAATATTTAGCTGCCCCGCTAGATTTCAGATTTCATGGGGCCTGTAGCCCCTTTGTTTTGGCCTATTTATCTCATTTGCAATGCCTATATTAACCCAATGCCTGTACTCTCCACTGTATCTAGAAAGTAACTAGCTTTTAATTTCACAGACTCATAGGCAGAAGGGACTTGCTTTGTCTCAGATTAGACATTAGACTGTGGATTTCTGAGTTAATGCTGAAATAAGTAAAGCCTTTGGGAACTGTTGGGAAGGCATAATTTGTTTTGAAATGTGAGGATATGTTGTTTGAGAGGGGCCAGGGGTGGAATGATACAATTTGGCTGTGTCCCCACCCAAATCTCAATGTGAATTGTATCTTCCAGAATTCCCACATGTTGTGGAAGGGACCCAGTGGGAGGTAATTGAATCATGGGGGCTGGTCTTTCCTATGCTATTCTTGTGATAGTAAGTTTCACAAGATCTGATGGGTTTATCAGGGGTTTCCTCTTTTGCTCCCTCCTCATTCTCTCTTGCAGCTGCCATGTAAGAAGTGCCTTTCGCTTTCTGCCAGGATTGTGAGACCTTCCCAACCGTGTTGAACTGTAAGTCAAATTCAGTCTCCTTTTCTTTCCTGTCTCCGATATGTCCTAATCAACAGCATGAAAATGGACTAATACATGAGTTATACAGTATCACTTCTCCATAAAGTAGGGAACTAGAATAGAAATAGGGCCTTAATTTTGGCTGCAAAAAAATAAGTGTCTAAGAGTGGAATTGCTAATGTTGCACATGAAATGATACAATGTGAGGTGGTCAGGGATTCAGAAAGTGATGGATTTAGGAAAGTACCCTACAAGCTTTGCAGTCTTTTGGATTAAAACATAGAGTATGGAATGAAGTCAGGCCAGAGAATCTTGAAAACCATGCTTGTAGAAGAGTATAGCCATCATCACACATCTATTTTAGTATTAACAATATTAGAGATTAAAACTCAGCTAATATATCTGCTTTTTCCAATTGGCTCTGTGCTCTTGGAAAAGTGTAGTATGCAGTAGATTGTCAATATATGCCTATAAAACTAAAGAGAAAGGAATTGCACTTTATCCCTTTTTGACTCTATATTTGTTTCCATTTTGTTTCCCAAACAGAAAGTTTCCTCAAATTTTAGCATCTATTAATGTTTCTAAGTGGAACCAAATCATGGGATCTCTCTCTTTTCTCCTTCTTACTCCAGTGCATGAAAGTGGAAGAAGCACATTCTTATATTCCCGTTTCCTGGTTGTAACAATCCTGTTGGGAAAAGGAAGATGAATCACAGGGCAATGGAGGCAATACTGTTATAGTCCTTAGAAAGAGTCATAATCCTTGCCCATAATGCTGTATAGATATCCTTCTCCAATATGAGTTTAAAAGATAATTCAGTAATTCATCAGAACAGTTAGGAAACTACTAGAAACTTCATGACCTCATATTCTTTAAAGGAACCAATTTATTGTATTGTTGTGACTTTCATTTGTTCTCCCCTTTGATGTTTATGTGATGAGCACCTTTGGTGATGGCTGAAATTATACATAGACAAAGAGGACTCAGGCATGACAAAGATGTCTTCTAATTTTCCTGGAGATTAATCTCTCCCTCTTAAATCTACAAAATTAAACTTTTTCTTGGTTTGATTTTGTACCCCAATATTTTTTCCTAGCTATAATTAGAGATGAAAATTAAGAGAGCAATGAAAAAAGTACTCTGATTTATTACTTTTGACAGGGAAGGTCTTTTTCCCATGTGGCTTCTGCATTCCTTTCTTTAGAGGGAAAAAGCAGAGGAAGAGGACTATTTGTCAGCTAGTAGCAGCTTCCAAGAAAAGAAGTATATTTGGGAAAGTATTTGAGATTAAAACACATTAGAAAAGATGCATCTCATTAAATCAAGATATTGTTCAAATCAACCCACTATGCTTTTTTTAAATGTTAAATTTGTATGTTTTAAAACTTAGAGTTTTAACAACTTATGTTCCTTATTGATTGATGACATAACCTCCACAAACCAGAATTCTACCTAAAGATGAAAACTTCCTTTGGAAAAATATGGGGGCTGGCATTTTAATGAGCATTTACAAGCCAAGTGCCTGATGAACTGTGTGGTTGCGCTACTTTTTAAATTGTCATAAGTCTTGGAGGAGCTATTATTATACCTATTTTTTAGAGGAGCAAACTAAGGCTGAGATTCTACCTTGTCCAGGGAAACATAAAACATAAATAGAAGAGCCATAAATGGGATACATATTATCCCAAACCAATGCCTCTCAAACATTTTCTTTCTTCGTTTTTTGTTTTGTTTTGTTTTGAAACCCAAGAGAGTGCAATGGCCACAGGCCCACTTTTCTTTCCCTGCCTAGTTGTGAAATGTTGCTTGTTGTTTCTACCAACCTAGAATATTATTCCTGGATTTTTTTCTTTCTTAATTTTTTAATCAGAAAGCCAATAGATTTTCTAAAAATTTTCAGTATTTTACCCATATTTTATTGATCTATGATGCTATTGACTAAAAGACATACATTGGATTATGTATGTTCTAAAGAAAACAAATGCTGTCAACAAAACTATGACATAATGCTTTAAAAAATAGTCCTGCATGGTGCACGAATCAGTCACATCACCACTCATTGTATTTCATCAATTCCAAGATATTTAGCAATTTCTTGTGTTTTTAGTTCCTCTGCATGGCAGGTGATAGCAATCCCTTTTGTTTGCATTTAATAACAAAGCCTAACACAGCTTCATCTACTTCTGGGTATTATTTTTCTTAGGTCCCATAAGACACATGGTTATTGTTTTGTAAGGAAATAAGGGGCTCTAGTCATTCCTGAAATGATGAATATTTGCCTCACTAAAAGCAAATGCATTCCCCACTGCTCTATTTTTATGTATTTTTTGTATATAATGACTTCTGCCTCAATGCGGAATCATGTGCAGTCTTTTAGAAGGCATTTTAAATGACAATTAAACTCAACACTTGTAGCACTAAAAATATTCAAAACTCAATGGAAGTGACAACAATGTGAATATTTATACTGGAAGCAATGACAACCACATCAGAACTGCCACCTGGCCAGCAGTGATTATAATATGTCACTAAATCTAACACTCTTCCTAATTTCAGAGGTATTAAAATGTGAAAAACTGTACTTCTTAGAATCAACGAAATAAGTAAATATTAAACATGCTTTTTAACAGTCTCTCTTTTCTGCATTTCAGATTCTGATCTGGTCCCAGCTCTTATATTCTTGAAGCACCCCTGTCCCCTATACCTCTCATCCTGCAGAGAAATACTGCTGTACTCTGTGCCTCTTTCCACTAAGAAAAGTTTTTTCATCTACTCTAGGCTTCATTTTAGCATTTACCCCAAGGCCTGTTATAAATGGACAGAAAATTAAATTTTTCTTTTTCCTCTTAGGGAGAGAAAACCTAACTACATTTCCAACTCATGACAGTGTATATTCCACATTTACATTGTATCATGGTCATGTGTAGTCCCTTGCTGATAGATAGGGTGAACATAAAGGGATTTAATTTTTGAACTCATAATAAACTTTTTCAACAACTTGATAGTTTGTACGTAAGAATTATTTTCTATAAATTGTCTCTTTACTCTGTTGATAGTTTCTTTTGCTGTGCAGAAGCTCTTGAGTTTAATTAGATTCCACTTACCAGGTTTTGCTTTTGTTATGGTTGCATTTGGTATCTTCATCATGAAATTTTTGCCCATTCCTATGCCCAGAATCATCTTGTCTAGGTTGTCTTTCAAGGTTTTTATCATTTTGGGTTTTACATTTACATTTTTAATTCATCTTGAGTTGATTTTTTTACATGGTGTAAGGAAGGGATCTAGCTTCAATCTTCTATATATGACTAGCCAGTTACCAAGTACCGTTTATTGTTTAGGGAGTCGTTTCCCCATTGCTTGCTTTTGTTAGCTTTGTCAATCACAGGTGTGCAGTCTTATTTCTGGGCTCTCTATTCCATTCTATTGGTTAGTCCATTTATCTGTTTTTGTACCAGTATCATGCTGTTTTGGTTAATGTAGACATGTAGTATAGTTTGAAGTTGAGTAATGTGATGCCCACAGCTTTGTTCTCTTTGCTTAGTATTGCCTTTGCTATTCAGGTTATTAGTTCAATAGGAATTTTAAGATAGGTTTTCTAGTTCTATGAAGAATGTCATTGATAGTTTGATAGGAATAGCACTGAATCTGTAAATTGCTTTGGGCAGTATGCCCTTTTCAATGATATTGATTATTCCTATCCATGGGCATGGGATGTTTTTCCGATTGTTTATGTCTTCTCTGATTGCTTTGAGAAGTGCTAGTGTTTCACAGTTTTCATTGTAGAGATCTTTCACCTCCCTGGTTAGCTGTATTCCTAGGTTATTTATTATTTTTGTGGCAAATGTGAATGAGATTGCGTTTCTAATTTGGCTTTCAGCTTGGCCACTGTTGGTGAATAGGAATACTAGTAATTTTTGTACATTGATTCTGTATCCAAATATTTGCAAACTATGTATCTGGCAAAAGTCTAATATCCACCATCTATAATGAACTTTAAAAAATTAACAGGAAAAAAAAACAACTCCATTAAAAAGTGTACAAGGGTATGAACAGACACTTTTCAAAAAAAGACATATATGCAGTCAACAAGCATATGAAACAAAGCTCAGTATCACTGATTATTAGGGAAATGCAAATAAAAACCATAATGAGATACCATCTCACAGCAGTCAGAATGGGCATTATTAAAAAGCCAAAAAATAACAGTTGCTGGTGATATTGCAGATGAAAAGGAACGCTTAGACACTGTTGGTATGAGTGTAATATAGTTCAACAATTGCAGAAAGCAGTATGGCGATTCTTCAAAGAGCTAAAAGCAGAACTACCATTTGATCCCGCAATCTCATTGCTAAACATATACCCAGGGGAATACAAATCATTTTACCATAAAGACACATGTACATAAATGTTCATTACAGCAGTAGGCACAATAGCAAAGACATAGAATCAATATAAATGCCCATTAATGACAGATTGGATAAAGCAAATGTGGTGCAAGTACACCATGGAATACTACGCAGCCATAAAAAGAATTAGATCATGTCTTTTGCAGGAACATGGGTGGAGCTGGAGCATGAATAATAGCCAAGGAAAAGAAAACCAAATATTGCATGTTCTCACTTATAAGTGGGAGCTAAACGATAAGAACTTATGAACACAAAGGAGGGAAAAACAGACACTGGGGTCTACTTGATGGTGGAGATTGTGAGGAGGGAGAGGAGCAGAAAAGATAACTTTGGAGCAGAAAATCCAAAAAATATGGATACTGGGCTTAATTCCTGGGTAACAAAATAATCTGTACAATAAATCCCTGTGACATGAGTTTACTGATGTAACAAACCTTCATATGTACTTCTGAACCTAAGATAAACATTACAAAAATAATTATTTTCTATTATTAAACATGTCCTTTGGAAACATTTTCATAACTGTTGAGTATTTTGTTGAGCCCTGAGGAAAGTATGCAGTAGCTGATTTTTGACTTTTATTGCAAATTTATTTTTTTCTCCATTCTTCACATTTTTCCATTGATATAATACCTGCATACTCTACCGATCCAAACAATATATAGTCAAAAGGGAAATTGATAATCTCTCATTTTCTCTTCTTAATCCCGTTTTCTAAGGTAACTACTGTAAACTATTTCCTTTGCGAAGAGAAACAAATGCTACACACACATACACACATATATACGTATATATAACCACTGACGATTAAAAAACAAACAAATATGAGAACCTAACATGGAGGTGCTATTCTTCCTAAGTGGTCTTTTGTGTACCTGTTTTGAAGTTAATGTATAATGATTCGCATTTTTTAATAGCTGCTTATTGTTTCATAGAATTAATATATCACGGATTGGGACACCATTTCCCTCCCTGTATATGGATAGCTAAGTCTGTTCCAGCTGCTGTAACAAAATACCATGAACTGGGTATCTTATAAAAGAAATTTATTTTTCAGAGTTCTAGGTCTGAATTCTAAGAACAAGGTGCCAGCAGATTCAACATCCGGTGAGGGCTCATTCCTCATAGACAGTGTCTTCTTGCTGTATCCTCACATGGCAGAAGGGGAAGACAATCTCCCTTTGGCCTCTTTTATAAGGGCACAAATCCTTTCCATCCTCTAAAGGCCCCATCTCTTACTACTATTGCACTGAGGATTAGGATTCAACATACAAATTTTGGGGGAACACAAACATGCAGGCCATAGCAATGGATAATCTAGTTATTTACAGATAGTGTTCTTATAAACCTTTTAGATATATTTTTGGGTAAGACTTTTGACAGTGTCAGAAATTGCTAATTTTTCTTTTTTCTTTCCCCCTGACAGAATCCTAGAAATGAAGATACTCAGTAAGGGAGCATACAAACTGTAAATTTAATATTGCTAGTTTTATTTTCTAAAATATTATAAAAATGTACATTCATCAATAATAAATACTGTCATTTTCTATAGGTTTTCATTAGCACTTAATATTCTCAAACTTTTACATGGTCATGTAATAGGCAAAACAATTACTGTGTTGTTTAAATTAGCATTCTTATATTTACTGACCATGATATATTTTCATTTTTAATTGATCATTTGCATTTCTTCTTTTGTGATTTACCTGTTCTTTGACTCATTTTAGGCTTTTTCTTATTGATGTGAAAGAACTCTTTATATGTTTAGAAATAATAAACAATGGGTGCTTACTATTTAACCTGACTCTGACTCTAAATGCTTTATAAGAATTAACACATTTAATTAATTCTCACAACAGCCTTATGAGGTAGATACAATTTTATAGGTAAGAAAATTAATGCAGAGAAAGATTAAATAATATGCCCAATGTCACACTGCTCTTAAGTGGCAGAGGTGGTGTTCAAACTGAGGCTGTCAGGATATAAACTCACGTCCTAACCCCTGTGGTATGTTCTGCTTAGCTGGAAGAGAAGATGGGAGTGTGTGCTGAGAACAAAGAGATATACCATCACTGGGTGCACAGGAGCCATGGCAGGCATATTTCAGAACACATTGGAAGACAAATATTCATGTCTAAAGTCTGATAAGAGTGATGCTTCTCTTAAGAAAAAATAAAAAGTATACCATTTCAAAATGGACTCTTGTCGCTGTAGATAGTTGTTGAAAGTGAACTGTGGGGGACATTGAGAAAGCTGATGAGGCAGAAACTGAACAATGAAACCGAAGGAGCAGAGGGGAAAATCTGTGTCACACGAGGCATTGGAGATCATAAATTCTTTAACACAGAGAGACTGCAAAAACAATGTCAGTACTACCTTCTTTGTTATTTGTAGTTTAAGTAAATTTTATGTAGTTTTCATTCCTTTAGCTACTCTTAATTAATCCCTTTGTGGTCTTTATAACATTCTCCGTTAAAGAAAACTGACATCTGGCCCTTCCTTTTCCCCAAAGATTGCTACAGAACAGATAGATTTATAGCTGTTATGATATTTATTTTCAAAACTCTGGGTGTTCCAGAAACCCAACTTACAGTTTTTTCAATACCTCTGTTTAGTTCCATTTTTGGAACCGTGATGTTATTACCTGATTACAAAAATTAAAAATAAAGTATCTTAGTCAACTTAAGATAAACTCAGACATTTGTTTTAAGCTTATTTAATTCAGGATTTTCCTCTCTTATGTACTGTTTCATTTTCCCAACAATTTGCTAGGATATTTGGACCATGGGAGGTGGGAAGGTGATATGGCTTAGGGCCATTTTTTTTCCAGGTGGGTATCCACACGATGATACAATCCTGTCTGGTCCTTGGACAAGACCATACTTCTCACTGGAATCTTATGGGACATCTATTTTTAATGAAATCATCTTTCTCAAAAATATTTATTGAAGTTTATCAATTATATATTGAAGATAAATATAAGGTAACCTCTATATCTCAAAATGTGATCTTATTTGGAAATAGGGTCTTGACAGATGCAATTAGTTAAGCTGAGGTCATTCTGGAGCATGGCAGGTCTCTAGACAACACAAATGGTGTCTTCTTATAAGAAGACAATATATGAACGTAGGAGAAGGCCATGTGCTGAAAGTGTTACGCATCTGTAAGTCCAGGAGTGCCAAGGATAGCTGGTGACATCAGAATCCAAGAGAAAAGCATGGAACAGATTATTTTCCAGAGGCTTTGAGAGAACCTGGCCCTGTTGACATCTGGATTTTGGACTTCTAGCCTCCAGAACAGTGAAAGAATAAATTTCTGTTGTATTAAGCCATGAAGATTATAGTACCTTGTTATAGCAGCTCTAGGAAACTAATACAGCATCCAAACTCAAGCTACTTCTAGAGTGTTGTCCTCTTAGCCTACTGCTCCAGTTGCATTTACAGCAACATCCACTCCATTCTGGGTTACTTGGGAAAATGGCCATTTCCAGTGTCCTTCCTGTCAAACTGCCCATCTGCTGGAGTACTTCAAAAACTCTGCTTTACTCAGGGGTCAGGGTAGCTTGGATACTCCCTGTAGTGCCTGCCAGCTTCTAGGACAATAAGACAGAGACCAGGCTTAGGTACTCTCTTTTCTTCTATCCTGAAACCCTTCTGGGGGTCCTATACTCTTATGTCTTAGAGCTCTCATATGGGTGTAGGCACAGGGGAGTCTCTACATGAGTCCCATAGCCGTATGTTCTCTTGCTGCTCTTTTTGCTCAACCTTCCCCTTCTCTACTTATCACAGCTCTCATATCCATATCCTCTCAAACTTGGGATTTTTGTGGGATTTTTTTTAATCTATTCTGGGTAAACAGAAGACAAGTGCTTCCACAACATGGTCTCTAAGTATTTATCCCTGAATTTTTTACGTGGCATCCAGCAGGTATGAAAGTCTAGAATTTGCTATCTATTCTTGGGTTCCTTCATGACAAGAATGGGAGAGAGTCACTATGGGAAGGAATGGAACAGGAGAAACTCATTTACTAATGCTAAGTACTTCTTACTCGTTCACCTGTTGTAGTTATTTGGATAGTTGCTGCAATTTTTAATTTCTATTTATTTTTGCTAACAGATTATCAGCATTTAATGATGACTTTTATGTTTTTCTTGATTTTTTTCCCTCATTATGAAGTTCCCGGAGTGAGACTGCTGAGTTAAAACGAAAGAAGTTGTGCTGTTTTCCAGAATGTCTGTAGCAATTTACAATGCTGCTTGCCATGTGTGAATGCATTAGTGTGGCAAATTCCATATTCTAAAGATGGTCATAAGAATATCTTCATTCCACATGATCTTTGCATATGAAACCTTGACATTCCTCTCATCAATAGATAAGGTTTTCCCCACAACATTTGACTCTGGGTGGGCTTGTGACTTGCTTGTAACCAATAGAATGCATCAAAAGTGATGTAGCATGACTGACGAGGCTGAATAAGCAAAAGCAATGCAGCCTCCACTTGGTTTCCCAGAACATTCACGTTCGGTGCCATGCACTGTCATGAGAGAAATTTGGGCATCCTAAGACCACCATGCCAGAATACACATGCCACACCACAAGGAAAGACCACATATAATAGGCAGTCTAAATAGTAGTTCTAAATTTCCAATCTCCCAACCCAGGTGCCAGGGTTTGGAAGTCCTATTGACATCCAAGCATGGAAATTTACTTGGCAATTAGGTATATGGACTTGCAGTCAGGAAGAGGCTAAAGTGGTCTGGATTTGAAGGTCATCAAGCAATGATGAAAACGGAAACTATGGAGGGATTGTGATTGCCTAAGGAGAATGTATCAGTTAATTATTCCCTCTTGATAAGCCGTCCCAAAACTTAGTGGTTTAAAACAACACTAATAAATATTTGTTCATAATTCTGAAACTTTGGTTTGGCTCAGGTGGGCAGCTTGTCCCTGTTCCACATGGTATTGGCTGAGCTCACTCATGCATTTGCAGTCAGTTGATGGCACAATGGGAACTGGAGGATGCAATGTGGCCTTACTCACATGTCTGTCACCTGAGATAGGATTGTTGGAATAGATGGAAGCTGGTCAGATCGTTCTCTTCCTCATGGTCTCTCATTGTCCAGGGTCTCTCTCTATACACAGGACTTTATCTTCAAGAAGAATACCCCAAACTTTGTTACATGGCATGTCTGGGCAACAAAAAGATGAAAGGATATGTCTTTAAGTACAGCTCAGAATTTGCACAGTATCATTTCCCTTCATTCTATTGGTCCAAGCAAAAGGCCAGCCCAATGTGGGAGGGGAAGTGAATATGAATTCAGTGATTTGCTAAGGCTATTATCTAGCCATCAGTCACAAAGGATGTGGGAATGAGAATAGTCTAATGCTCTGAAGAGCACCACATCTCAAGAATGAGTGTAGAAAAACAAGCCCATTATATGACTTAAGGGTGGCCGGAGATATAGGAGGAAAATCAAGTAAGAATGGTATTATAACAATTAAAGATTCCACTTCTAAAAAATAGAGGGGTTTGTTACTGTCAAAGCAAGAAAACAATAATGAAACAAACCTTCACATTTCATAACAAGCAGGTTATTGATGACATCAATAGGAAGAAATGCAGTGGAGCAGAAGGAGCTGAAGCCAGATTGCAGAGGGTTGAAGGAAGGAAGCACCGGGAGAGAGAAGGTTGCCTGTAAAAGGGCAGAGAGCCAGGCGCGGTGGCTCACGCCTGTAATCCCAGCACTTTGGGAGGCCGAGGTGGGTGGATCACGAGGTCAAGAGATCGAGACCATCCTGGTCAACGTGGTGAAACCCTGTCTCTACTAAAAATACAAAAAAATTAGCTGGGCACGGTGTTGTGTGCCTGTAATCCCAGCTACTCAGGAGGTTGAGGCAGGAGAATTGCCTGAACCCAGGAGGTGGAGGTTGCGGTGAGCCGAGATCGCGCCATTGCACTCCAGTCTGGGTAACAAGAGTGAAACTCCGTCTCAAAAAAGAAAAAAAAAAAAAAAAAAAAAAAAGGGCAGTGAGACCTGGGGAAATAGCCAGAATTTGACATGTTTCTGTTTTAGTTTGTTAGTTTTTGTATATAGGAGGAATTTGGACCAGTCTAAATTCTGAAAAGAAGTTGGAGACAAAAAGGGTAAAGTTGAAGATATTGAGAAAAATATTAGGAAACTGAGTTCTAGTTTCTTGGTTTAGCAGAAATTAAAGTCAGTTTCACTGTGCAGAGCAAGATTATATTACCTTGAGCTATTATTTTTCATTCTTTTTAGTTTTCTAAAAAGACAATTTACATTGAGTCAAAAGGAGTAAAATCCATTTAAATGCATAAATATGTAATTTCACCTTGCTTTTTGAAGTGCCCAATTAAGAATGATTTAATCTAAAATGAATCCATTTAGAAGTAAAAATGTTTAAGAGGAAATATTTTGAAAGTAGTACATTGTCTTATGAAAGTAAATAGTATATTTAAAATATGCATCCTTGCATTTGACATATTTATTCATTTTCTTTAAGATGTAAATGCTTTAACAAATGTTGTAAATGTAGAGAAATAAATTAACTTTACATCAAAGAGCAAA